AGTGTGGAGCGCCCCGTTTGAAGAAGCGCCGGGACTACAATGTTAAGATCGCGTTTCGTGGGTTTCTGTTGGTCTTTGTATTTTCTTGGAAGTTCTTCACTCCGACCCAATTAAATGGGGTGTCGGCGCCGCGCATTGTAATAGAGGGCCCGAGCGGTACCGAAGCGGTACTGAGGCGGCTATGGAGGGCCCGAACGTAATAGAGGGCCCGAGCGGTACCGAGCAGTCGACTTGGCTGGGTTTCTCCAGTACATTGATTTCAAGGGCAAGGCTGGTTCCGGATACCAGCGGAACTTGGATACACCTTCAGGTGAGAATCTAGAGAACCATATGCATGGTATCGTCTCCGGACGATAGTTTTTGAAGAACTTTTGGACGCTCGCTGGAGCAGCTGTGTATGTTGGAGACACTCTCGATGCTCTTTGGAGCATCTACGTGTTGGTGGATTGCGCGCATATTTCATGGATGCCCACGACATCCATCTCCGTGGATATTGTATGTATATCGCACGTACACTCACAGTGCATACCTAGAATTATGTGTTTGGTTGCTTTTGTCTTCCCCCTCTTTTGGGTTTCCTCCCAAGTGATGACATCAGCCACACTGGGGGTGCACTCACGAGGTGTGTCCGAGGATCCCTTCCGGGGTCGTCATGCTGAAAAGTGTGGTGTGTGATGGGGGCAAACACAAAATGTGTTTCCTTTTGGTTTGGGGGCTCATAACCTCCTGTTGGGCGCTAGAGTGGTGGCACGTCGCGAGGGTGACTTTTGGGTCCAATGGAATCCACAATAGGTTCGTTCGCCTTGCGGGAATCGTTTGAACGTCGTTTTCGGACGAAGCGATGGAGTTTAGAGAAGCTAGACATGCGCAGATGTACGCACTGTAAAGCACCTTGCGTTGGTTTGTGTGTCGCGCAAAAGGTCGGTTGACGCTTGCGCTGCTGTTGGGTTCGGGCCTTGCGAGGTCGTTTGGGGTTTTGTTTTTTCGCAGTATGCGCAGTACAGGATCCACCGTACCATGTTGGCCCGGAGCCACAGGAGCTTGTTGTTGACGCATCTGTGCAAATGGACTTAGTTCCCAGTTTCTTGGTGCACAGACGACTGAACACCAGACGGACTGTGGACACTGGCACAGGCACATGCTACCCAATGCCCGACCTGACCTCCGTAGCCTTTTGGCTCAAGCGTCCCTTTCTGGCACATCCCCTGAAGTGGCGCTGAGATGTTTGGGGAACTCTCCTCACAAGGTACACCCACAAGCGCAGAGCGGAGCGATCTGTTGTCTTCCACCTCATCCTGGTCACCTTGGCTGGGGAGGAAATCCAGCTGCCAATCGAGCTACAGGAATTTGATCGCCTTAGCCTTAGTGAGTTTGAGAATGTGGTACTCGAGAGCCTCCCACTCATAGGCAAGCATAGCACCTTTGGGTGTGAACTGGAGTTCGTCAGCATGAACACCCGGACAATCCTTGCCGACCCCATTTGGGACACCCTACAAGAATGCAACTGCTTTAGCCTCGTTGTTCGTCAGTGCTTTATACAGGCGGAACATAAAGGGCAACTGCGACGAAGAGCCAAAGCTATTAGCGTTCCTGCTGAAGACAATGAGCGAGTGTTGCCCAATGCCTTCTCGCACGTCTCGGATATTCGGCATGTACAGGTGGAAGCAGGCGTCCACACCGTTGGCGAGGCCGCCTGGCAAAGTTGTCAGCGACTCCAAATCGTTAAACTACCGGACACGGTTGTTTGTCTCCAGGACGGCGCCTTCCAAAGATGCTATGAGCTCAGAACGGTTCTTGTCCCAGGGTGCAAACAATTTGGACGCAGTGTGTTTGCAGAATGCTGCTCCATGTCCCAGATAGGAATTGCTGAAGACACAACCAACCTGCTGGCCCCGCAAGCCCAGGTCTCCCCGCATGCCTTTGAGAGTTGTCTTGCGCTCCGGCAAATTAACTTCGAGAAGACAGAGGCCAACCCCTCGAACTGCACGCGCTATATACCGGAGGGATGCTTCCTCGGGTCAGGCATTGAGCAATTGGATTTACCAGCTGATTTCAACTTCTTAGGGCCGGCTGCATGTGAAAACTGCAAGCGGCTGCAGCGAGTTGATCTCTTTCGTACTGATATAACTGCTATTTGGGGGTCAACCTTTGCGCACTGTTCGCATTTGGAGCAACTCTGCTTTCCGCAGAGGCTACGGCGCATTGGACAAGAAGCCTTCTTGCTGTGCTCCTCGCTGCATGAAGTGCACACCCCGCCTGCTTTACTTTATATTGCTCACCGAGCATTCTCAGGATGCACACAACTCAGTCGGCTCCTCAAAATGGAAGCCAAAGCCACATGGAGAGGACCATATGTAGAAAGTGACACCTTCGAAATGTGCGACAAGTCGAACATGCCTGGATTGATCCCCTACCGCCGAATCCAGGGAGCAGTAGGACCTTCAATGCTGAAGAATTTGATGATGAGTTACGCAGGAACCTGCGCTGACATTGCTTGCCCGTCTCAGGCTGGCACCTCTGTGTCGGTCCTGCAGACCAGATCTTTCGCTTCTGACGACTCTCTGTACAGCGCAACAACGTAGATAGACAGCGCCCAGGCTGACACCTTAGCGTCGGTCCTGGATGAGTACAAAGAGTACAGGCCTTCGAGGCATACTAGATGTAGGGTAACGGCGTTTCACCTTCGTTTCACACAGATAGTTTCACACAGATAGAGGGGCACTGCATGGTACAGGCGCTCAACTGACAGCTCACTCATGCCAAGCACAAGCAGATGCACACCAAGCAGCTCCCACTGAGCTACTAGCCAGTCCCTATCGACCTCTATGGGACGCTTGTGTTTCTGTGACTCCCGTGGCAAAGCTGTTTAGGAGTCACCGCTACAAGCGCTTGATGCATCTCTGTCCTCCTCCCCTTGGGGAGGAGTTGACTCTTCGTAGGGAAGTCCCAGCTTCGCTGCTGCATGGAATCGGCTGCGCTGTAGCTGTGCTTTCGACAGTTTGAAGCCTTCGTAAGCTGCTAGCAGTGGTTTTCCTCTGGGCCATGTCCATGCTACCATGCGAGCACCCTACAGTTTTGCAAGTTTCTTGATACCCGAAGATGCATGATTATATAGCTGTCTTCAAAGCTCTCCAGGAGGCTCTTCAAAAGCAACCTCGTCCATAGTGTCCTGTTTCAGGACGCACCGCCACCGATTAGCAGGACAAGACAGCACCAAGAAAGGAGTGACACTGTCACAAGGAATGCAACCCAACACTCCCTGGTGGCAAAGATGTACTGAGAGCCAACGCTGAATTCATTGCCCCTGTTTCACGTCCTCTCATTTTGGCTGACACGGCCTCTTGAGCTACACCCCAGGTTGCGGTTTTTCTTTTGGGGTTGCTTTTTGGGGCTTTGGTTGGGGTTGGTGTTTGTTTTGTTGGTTTTTTGGTGTTCTCCTTTACTGCAACCTGGATGGTAACTCTCTCTTCACTAGCACAAGATGATCTGTGCAACCTCTGCACACATGGCGTCTCCACCCGTGCACAAAATAGACCAATGCCCAACCTGACCAATGTGCAACCTTGCTGTCCTTGAAAACCTTGCTGTTGTTGCTGCTGTATCTTGTGTCATCCAAGGATCTGCATGCAGACCTCCCATCCCCTGTCCTGTGCCCGAACACCCTGACAAGCAACCACCTTGCCCTTGGCACCCTGCACCCGTGGAACAGAAGGCATACCAGCCATCCCTGACCAGGACCGCACGCGTCAAGCGACCTTTTGCGCGACACACACAAACCAACGCAAGATGTTTTGCAGCATCTGTGCACGTCAAATTTCTTAAACTCCATCGCTCCATCCTCTTGAAGATAAGCCGAAAACAAACGTGGTTCGTCCGAAAAACGACGTTCAAGCGATTCCCGCAAGGTACCTGAGATTCTGGAGAAACCATTTTCGAAGCCTCAAAAGGCAGCGGAAACAACCGAAGTGAAAAAGGAAGTCAAAGAAGAACGTCAAGAAAAAATCAAGAAGGTTCAGTTCCAAGTCAACACTGGATGTCTCGAAACGAGAGAGAGGAACGAAAAAGGCAAAGGAATCGAATCAGGCAGAGGATGCTTCGAGCATTCGTGAAGAACTTAAAGAAGAAGTCCAGAAGACGCGAAGGGATCGCAGCTGGCACAGCGAACGTCCGAAGTGTTTCAGTCGCCGGAGGCTTGTGGTGAAGGGCACCATAGAGGGAGGCACGGTCAAGCCGGAACCCAAGTTGCACTGCGCCTGACAAAAGTGTCAAACTCGTGCTCCCTATCACAGGTGTTTTGCTTCATCTGGACAGCCAGCGTGGGTGGATTTGGAGACAAGTCTGAACATGTGTTGGAGTGCGCAACCAAAGTGCCTGGAGATGCTCTTCGACTTTGCCGCAACAAATTTTCCGGCAAATGATCAAAGCTGCTGCTGGAGGTCTGCTGGCTGTCATGAAAATTTTCACAAAAAAACAACAAAGGATTGTCGAAAGCACGGCTTGGTGATTGGACTTGCATGGGATAGCTGGTTTTTCATATGACTTCAGGGCCGATGTACTTCGCCTTGTTTTTGGTTCAAGTGCGCAGAAAAGGGTGGGATGCGTTTGCTGTCCTTTTGACTGCTCTTGCAAGTGTTTTTGTATTGTGTAGAGTATTCTATATAGGTGGTACGCTTTTCACTTGGTAGCGGAGCTCGGAGAAGGAGCTGAGGTGGTCCAGGTCAACGTGAAGTGGAAAAGGTACGAGAGGAAAAACGAGAGCGTGTTTCGGCTGCAGGGTGTTTTTCAGAAAGGTCGTAGTTTGAAGTGTAGTGTGATGGGGAACACAACATAATTGATAAAGAACGAACACGAACAACCAAACAAAAACAACACATTTCCGAAAAATGTGGCAGGAAAACATGAACGTTTGTTTGAGTCAATTTCATCTCAGACGCTTCTTGTGGTCCTTTCCCTTGCGCTAGACTATTGGTGTGTGCCAGAGGGGCAATACGTGTGACTTGAGCTGCAGGTTTGGCTCGAAGTACCAGCGCAAAATCCTTTCCTTGCATTTCAGAAAATGCCGGCCAAGCTGAGCATTAATGATGTGGATGTGGCTGGCAAGCGTGTCTTCATGCGGGTCGACTTCAATGTTCCTCAGGCGGAATATTCGGGTCGAAACGTAAGTTTTGACACACACTTGTGTGTCTCGCACCAAGGACTGCGCTCACATGGTGCTGAAATATGTTCACAACAAATACCATGGGACCATCGCAGTCAACAGTTTAAGTCCCTCAAACTCGGATGACCTTTTGCAGAGACCTCTAGTAAGTGTTAGAGTGGGCAGGCTGCAGATTTGGATTTTTAATGCGAATGCGAATGTGAAGGACAAGGCCGACCCCACCAAGATCACAAACACTCAGCGCATTGACGGTGCCTTGCCGACCATCAAGAAGGTGGGAATTTAATCAACTATTTGCCACGTTGACTGAAGTAACTGAAGTATAGTTGCACCAATTTGTTGAAAAACAAACACGTATTCTTAACAAACTCGAACACTTTCCCACACAACTTGAAGCAAACTTAGACTCAAGTAAGCAAGATCCCTCCTGTTCCTCCAGAGTAAGTAAAACGATGAACTATCTTCGTCGTTGAAACTACGTTGCTCAAATCCTTTCAATCAAATTGTGTTGTAAAATTCATGGAGGCAAACGTATTCTTGACGTTTCTTCGGGAAGATTCGACGAATGCATTTCACTTGTGGATTTGAGCCACACATGGCCAATTCTGTCAGTTCTGCCACTGACTTGCAGTTTTTCAAGAGAGCCAGTGGGAAGCCGAAAAACAAAAAAACAACAGGCCACATTTCTTGGTAGAAGTCCGGTTCTCACCGTCAAGTCCCTGAGATAGTTTTCTTCGCCTTGGCACCTTTGCAGGTCTTGGAGAAAGGTGCCAAGTCCGTGGTTTTGGCGTCTCACCTGGGCCGGCCCGATGGCTCTGCGCCATCCTTGGAGACGGTGAAGAGGTGGAACTGGGTGGCCCACGAGGATTGGGGGAGTTTTGGTATTAGGGTGGTGTGAAGGCATCTCTTCATTTTGACGTGAAAGTCCAAGATTTTGGACCCTGTGAAACCAACCAATTTTTGATTGGTTTCGTGTCACTGGATTTCGTGTTTTGATTGAAGAAGCGCTCGGTGAGGTACTCCCGAATTTTGTGCCAGGGCCAGAGCACATCCTCCGATTCCGAGGTCGTTGCAAAGTATTCCTTGGCACCCGTGGCCAAGATTTTGGAAGAGAAGCTCGGCAAGCCGGTGCGGGCAGATGCGGGGCCGACCAGTCAGTAAAAGATGTGGTGTAACCTTGCGGTTTGGATCTCTGGGAGGAGCATGAAAATGGAGAGCGGTCTTTCATGAGTTGAAACTGCCATTCAGAAAAGACGTGACAAGACGCGACTGGGCCAGCTGCCTGCGTTGCAGGTGACCTTTTGCACCGACTGTGTTGGGTGCGGTCCGTCAGTGGGTGGGACTGGGAGATCGCGTACTACTCGATCACCATTCCCCAAATCTTCATTTCAAGCAGAGAAACACGTCTTCTTGTCTATTTGCATGGTCCCCCAGCGACTCTTTCCAGACGCCTCTCCGCCCGCCTCTCCGCCTCTTCGACACGCGTGTCGCGTGTCGCCCCGCCCGCGCGCGTTGAGCATGCTTTTCGAGGCCCGAGGTGGAAGCCACCTGTGCGGACCCTGCCCCGGGCTCCGTGATCCTCTTGGAGCCACTCAGCTGCGACCAAATGGGAGCCCGTCCCGTCCACTCTGCCGGCATGGATGGGCCTCAAAACAGGCCGCTCCTGGCAGGTGCAGTTGATGGCATCCAGTTGGTGAACGCACCAACGATTCAAGCAGCAAAGACTTGGAGATTATATAGGGGAGTTCGGGACACAGCACACAGCACCGTGTTTTTTTGGGCTCGTAGGCTGTCTTTAAGCGACGCGTCCCTGGCCCAAGGAACTTGCGGTTCCACGTTGAGGAAGAGGGCAAGGGAGTGGATCCGGAGGCCGAGTATCCTGCTTTCGCAAACTCTGTTCTGGTAAAGATGACATGGATCACCCTCCATGAGCGAGAGTGACCAACGAAGGAAAGGAATTGCTCATAACATAGGTTTGTGGAGTCAGATGTCTTGAAGCATCACAGACTTTTAAGGGTTTGGCCGCCGTTTGGCAGTCACTCATTCGGGATGGTCGCAGCAGAAGTTGGCAAAGCGATGCTGTGGACAGGGCAACAAGATCAAGGCTGACAAGGACAAGGTGAAAGAGTTCCGTGCTTCCATCAGGCTGGGCCTCTTTGCGAACGACTTGACAATGGGTACAAGACAGGTTAGGTTGTCCACCCAGTAATGGTCCCCCAACATCGTCATTAGATCTGTAGTACGTGCCCACGGTATGATTGACTGTGACTGGGTTGGGGGACAAACTCACGTACAAGTCTTTCTATCCAGGTTTCTTATTTTCCATCGTGTTTCTTCGGGATCAGGTCAGGTCGGTGCTGCACCGCGTTCGGACTGGGTGGCCGTCACCCGGCATGTCTTCCTCGGCCGTGCTCTGAAGAGACCAACCCGATGGGTGTTCGGCGTTCCGGTGGGCCCACGGAAGAGGGGTTGGGCGACCGGTGCGTGGCAACCTTCGCTTTTGGCACCGAACGAAGCGATGGAGGTGTCTTGCTAGAAGCTGCAGAAATTCTTTTATATGGACCAATCTCCTTCTTGTAGCCCAACGGAGTGGAATGTGCTTGCCACTTGTACATGATATCATCTTCTTATTCTTCGTAGCAATGACCACGGATTCTCTTGGCTCTCCCACTGAAAGCCATTTCTGTTGAACTTGCGCTTGCCATTTCTGAGTGGTGAAAAAGCAGCCTTGTGGCCTTGCACGAACGACGTGCTTTCCAGAGATCACCGGTGGGGGACTGGACTCCGCCAGTGTGAGGCAGAACATGGGAACATCCCATTCTTTCATGGAGGGGTCCCAACTGGGAGAGCCTATGTTTGATCGCGTATTGGGTTGCTCGCATGGTGGATCGCGTATTGGCTTCCTATTTTTAACATGAGCTTGGTTTTGATGGAGAAACGCAGTTTCGTAGGAAAGAAAGTGTGCAGAGGTCAGGAGGTAACCCACTTTGTTTTCTTTCCATTTTGGCTCAAGATGAGCCAGCCGGGGGCGTGAGTTAAGATGGATGAGTTCGAGCTCCTGCTGGCCATCGTGTTCTTGGCCGGTGGGGGTTTCGGCTTGCTGGTGGGGTGGTGGCTTGGTTCCCGCCGGGTGGGAACACCTTGTCAGGTGTTTCAGCCGTGCACGATTTCGGTGGCAGAGATCACCCAACGTCGTCGCGGCACCAAGCATGGCGAACCACCCTTTACCTACGGACACCGAAATGGCAGCGCTCACAGATCTCCCAGCGATCGTTAAGTGGTGTGCCTTGGATCAAGCTGGTTGGAGAGAGATCAACAATGCCTTCGGTCAGTTTCCCAATATTCGGTTGCTGGCTCACGCCCCTCCGGAAGGGATCGCCACAGCTCTTGAGCACATGGAGCTGCGAAGAGTGGGGGCTGATGGGGCTCTCCTGGACCCGCCGACTAGGCCTTTGACAATGGTTGAGATGGTTCAGACTGCTTTGGTTTGGAGAGTGTGCAGGAAATGTTTTGGTCTTGAGGACATTGACATCCTTGCACCTGGTGTTGTTGCAAGACTATCAGCACCCACCCCAGCGGCAGTAGCAATGGCACCAGCACCCATGGCAGTTGGAGGAACCACAAAGCAGTTGGGGGTACAAAAGGTGAAAGTTTCTCAGATTGCTGACCAACTGGATGATACGGAGCTAGAGTTGGTAGGTAAAGCTGAGGTGGACGAGGCCTATGCACAGTACAGGTTGGTCATGGGCGCCGATCCTGTCAAGGAGACAGAACCTACAGCTGAGCAACTGACGGTGATGATCAACAAGGTGGTCACAAGAGGAGCTGCGCCATATGCAGACTTCTCCGTGCTCACACCCTATGCCAGACGGACACAACGTCAGCTGAAGGCCAAAGGGTTCCTCCTCCAGGAGGACGGCGCATGGAAGCAAACGGAGGTGGCTGGCCCACCAAACTTTGCAGCATGGACATCGTGCTGGGATGTGTACAGGACCATTTTGCTGATGCTTCGTCGCAACCCATCGACCCCAGGTGGTGAGAAGAAGCCAGTGGTCACTTGGGCTGCTCTGGATGAATGCTTCAGGAACATTGCAACATTGAATCGTCAGTATCCAGAATGCTGGCACCTCATCCTACAGGCCGAGGACCGTTGTCGCAGTGACCACCTGGAGAGGATCAGGAGATCGTTGACGAGGGCGGCAGTTGAAGCACGACTCCCAATGGACCTCAGTTTCGATGTTCAGCAGCCACGGATTGGGGTGTTCACCCACGCAGCGCGTGATCAGACTTATTGGAATCAAGAAGTTCAGATCCCGGCTCAAGCCTTCATCGCACGGCAGGGAGGCAGATCTATGAGCAGGCAAGAGGCCGAGGGTATGGACATGACAGATGCAGAAAGAGATGCATCGCGTGCAGCGAAGGGAGCACCTCGTCCACATGGTGAAGGAGAGCCCAAAAGTGCAAAACGACGCAGAAGAGAGAAGGAAAAGAGAGAGGAGGATTGGAGAAAGAGTCGTGTGCAGCCGGTGAACCAGTATGAGTCTTACAGCTGGAGAGGTTCAGGCAGCAGTAAGGCAGAAGGCAAAGGAAAGATGCAGCACCCTCGGAAGTATGGCCAATTCTTCGTGACGGATCGTGATGGCAACCAGATTTGCTACATGTTCGCGAAGGGTCAACCGGGTGCCTGCCAAGAACCATGTGGTGATCATCGAGCTCATGTATGCCAGATTTGTCTTGGGCAGCGCCCAAATGTCCAATGCAGCAAGGGCAAGTCGGGCGACAAGAGCGGGGGTGGAAAAGGGAAGTGAGAGGAGGAGGAAGCAGTGCATGACTTCGCAGATTCGGGTGATGAACAAATTGTTTTAGAGCCGGAAGATGTGAAGGTTACAGCAGAATTTACGAATGAGGTCAATGATGTTTCAATGCAAGAGCAAAACAGACAAGTCATTTTTGCAGAGTTTTTCGCTGGAATGGGAGGTCTCTCAGAAGCAATGAGGTTCATGTCTGGCGGACGGATCTCCGTCTGTGCGACGTGGGACGGATATGCTGGGGGATGGAACATTCTGGACGAAGAGGACTACAAGGCCGCGACGAACTTGTGCGCCACAGAGATAGATCACGGTCAGACGGTCTGATCAATTTGGACAGGTGCCTGTGTTGAGGAGCGACAAATATCCAGAGGGATGGGGGGACCAGCAAACAGAGCAAGCGAACGAAATGATTGCACGAATGGTGGTACTATGTTTACTCCTGCGTGATCGTGGTGCCACATTCTCCATTGAGAACCCTGGGGACTCCTTTTTGTGGTTGTTGAAAATCATGCAACGGCTAGTGAAACTGAAGGAGTCCGAGCTGGTATGCCTACATCAGTGTGCCTACGGTGCCTCGTCAAGAAAGCCCACAGGGATACTCACAACATCATGTTGGATGAAGCTCGTAAGACGGCTATGCCATGAAGTTCGACCCCACTTGCACGCATCCGTACTGTCAGGTAAGGCATGGGACTACGTGGAGGAGAAGTGGGTTTGGAGGACGAGCTTAGCTGCCGAGTACCCATGTGGACTATGCATCTCTTGGGCAAAGGCACTTCGATGTTGGCTTGAGTCGAAACTGGGCAAACGATGGTTGCAGCAGAGATCATACAAGGTTGTTGGCAGATGGAAGAACGTACTAGTCCGGGCATCCATAGAACGTGGAGGAGACAGCGCTAGATTGCCTCAACCCAAGATGACTGCAAAACAAGTTAGAGAGCAGGAGAACAAAGCCGCAGTTGGAGGACTCAGAAATCCACGAGATGCAGTGCGAAAGTCGGAAGAACTTCGACGGACAGGTAGCCGGATACGTCGTGTGGCAGAAGATCACATGACGAATGATCGCATTCGGGCTATGTGTGAAGATTGCGCTGCAGGTATGAGCGAGGAGTGGATTCTGGAAGTGCGAAGGGCGTTGGGTTCAGAGTTTGGTGCAGAGGTGACAGACTCAGGACTACAAGCAGACCTTTGGCAGAAGCTTCTGGAATGTGCTGCAGACAAAGATGCTTGTACATTGCCTCAATGGATGAGGCATGGTTTCCCGCTTGGAATCGAGGAGGAGATCAAGAACAATGGCATCTTTCCGGCAACAGGTGTTGACTCAGCTGCAGTGGAAGCATCACGAAGAGATGGGTTGTTGCAAGACGACATTGATGGAGCTATGACAAATTACTCCAGCTTTGAAGAAGCAGGTGAACCAGCTGAAGAGTTGCTCAGACAGATGGAGTTAGCAAATCGCGCAGACGTAGTGGAGACATGGCAACAAGTGGAAGAGCTTACAGGTGGCGGTGCCAAGTTGACCAGACTAGCGTGCATTGTGAAGCTGAAAGAAAATGGTGAACACAAATACAGGCTGGTCGTCGACTATCCAGTCACTTCTGGAAGTCCGTCATCGCGACAGTTCCCAAGAGTTGGAGCTGTTTTCAGCAGACTTCAAGGATGCCTTTCACATGCTGCCATTGTGTGAAACGGAACGCAAATCTGTGGTTTACAAAAATGGACGGTCCCAATATCACGCGTCGAAGGTGGTTGTCTTTGGCCTGACTGCGGGGCCTTTGCTTTGGGCAAGATTGGCAAGTGGGGCCATGAGACTCGCACAGGCCTCCTTGCAAAAGGGCGAAGGCGCCCTGGCGTGCTACGTGGACGACCCCTTGTTGGCCGTGATGGGCACGTGCAAGCAACAGCGCATGAAGACCTTTTGTGTTTGCGCAGCAGTGTGGCAAGCATTAGGACTGGAGATCTCATGGTCCAAAGTCAGCCATGGCCGGTCAATCAAGTGGATCGGATATGAGATCGAGCTGCAAGGTTATCAATATGGTGATGTTGTGGTTCGGCTTGCGCCCCCGAAGAGGGAGAAGTTGTTGCAGGTTTTCCAGGACATGCTGACATGCAAAGGAATGATTCCCTTGCGCTTGCTGGTATATGCTACAGGAGTCATTGGATGGGCCACCAGTGTGATGCCATCTACAAGACCCTGGCTAGCTATGCTGTATGCTGCTGCGACACAACACAAGCAAGGTCCCTCAAAGCGCCCGAAGAAAGGGCTAGTTTATTTGAAGCAGATAAACCATGCAGTGAGATGGCTACATGCATTGATCCAAGAAGTGGATTCCCTGCGCCCTGATTCAGGCCCAATGATCCGTGGGTACTGATCCAGACAGACGCGTGCCCGAGTGGCATGGGTGCATACCTGATGATTGCAGGTGAGTATGTTGCATATTGGCATGACAAGGTGACCAATGCAGATTTGGAATTGTTAGGAGCTACAGCAGGAGACCCTGCGTTCCAAAGCGAGTGGGAGCTTTTGACAGTCTGGATATCCATAGAGACATTCATGAGAGTGTTGAAAGAGTTGGACTGCAACCCACAGATCTTGCTGAGAACTGCGACAATTTCAGCGGCCATGGACTACAGGGCAAAGTCTCCGTTGATGGTTCAGCTAGCAGCGGAAATCAGCATTCAGATAGAAGTGCATCAGCTTGCTCAGATTCGTGCAGAACACGTGCTGGGAATCCGAAACAAACTGGCCAACCAGCTGAGTCGCATGCAAACGCACGACCCAGTTCCCAGACAGTTATGCAACGCCCAGCAACTGACACCTCAGTCACGTGGCAAACACAGCTTTCGTGCTTGGCCGTAAAAGAAGTTGTGAAGTGTGAAGAGCTGTGTTTACAGGTGAGGTGCAGAGGTAGGTCTGTGACGCTTGCGGTTTGCGCAGATTGTTTTGATAGCGGTAGGCGGTATCGGCTGTCGACATGTCGTGCGCACTGCAGGCCAGCCTCCCAGGCCTGTATGCAGTCTGGGCGCTCAGAGGTCTCATCAGAGTGCATGTGGAAGGGGCAACTTCGTTAGTTTGGCGTGGTTCTGGCCCCCTTGAAGAGAGGCGTGTCAGAGAACGCTTGCGCTTCACGTGTGCTTGATAGATCACTGTTTCTTGATAGAGCCATAAGTGAATTGTAGGGAGACATGACAAGTGAGATTTTGCACTTCTTTCATGCATCGTAGCCATTTTGTAGGTCATGCCTTGCCGAGGTTGTAGGGGACGAAGTTTCACTCCCTTTTCGTATGTAGATGTTCTGCCTGAAAAGGAAGAACTGCCACCTGCAGTGGTGGCTGCTCGAAGAGCTTTAGGCTGGACAGAGGCAGAAGTATGGGGAGGCAAAGAAGTTGCCGAAAACAAAGAAGGAGTGGGGGTCTGTGCTCCTGTGACGCCTCTGTTCCCATGCCTCGAACCCTTGCGGCTGGTGACGGAAGCAGGGGAAGTGTTGACAAAACGTCGCAGGAGTGGATCCCAACTGAAGGAGGGGGCAGACCCAACAGGGGCAGCTCTCAGCTGGCTTTGCAAATAGCTGCAGATCCAGCAAAGAAGGAGTTGGCCCTCAAACAGTTCGGAAGTCTCACTCTGGCCTTGACGACTCAGAACACCAAAGAATCCCTGTTTGCGCTGTGGGAGAAGATTTGTCGCAGGCTGGGGGTAGAAGCACTCCCCGTGACAGATCAAAGCATGGTAGAAGTCGCTGCAGTCCTCTAGTGGATACAAAGCAGTGACTGCATATGTTCAGGAGGCGAAGATCCGGCACATCAAGGCAGGGTATGTATGGGACAACAGGTTGAACATGCTGTTCGGAGATGTGAAACGGGCAGCAAAGCGGGCACAAGGTCCTGCAGCTAGAGCAGAAGACGTGAGATTGGAGTGGTGGGCCATGTTGGTGCACAGGTTTGGGGAACATCCAAGGATCCAATGCAATGAGAAAGAACCAGCTGGTGGTGCATTGGTATGGATCCTAGCGACCAGGTTCGTTCTGCGTGAAACCGAACTTGCAGGACTTACGGTGGACACCAATGGGTTGAAGCTGGACCTGCATGGCCAATCAAGTGATCAGCCTCCATTTGCTTGTGCAGAAGACAGACCCAGGAGCGAAAGGTGCTTGGAGAGCTCTCCCGTGCCGATGCCAGAAAGAGGAGCCCGTCACATGTCCATTTCACGCGGGAAGGAAGCTGGTTGAGCTGCAGTTGTCGAGATTGAGAGTGAGTACACAGTTGGAAGTGCAAGGCAAGGGCTTCCCTTTGATCGGGCAGCTAGGAGATCCCAGAAGAGTAGTTGAGAAGGAAGACATGATCAGCCACGCTCAGAAACTTGCTACGCTCATGAAGGCGGAAGTGAACGACGCAAGTGACCTTGCTGTAGAAAGAGTGACTGGCCATTTTGCGAGAAGGTCGGGAGTGAAATTCCTGGCGAGAAGTGGAGTCCCAGTTGCTTCAATACAGTGGCTGTCAAGACACAGTTCCAACGTGGTTTGGCAATATATCGAAGACTCTTGGGCTGAGTGTCCGCGGGCAGATATGCAGATGTCAGACGTTTTGACGACCTGTGACTTAGTGACGGCGGCTCTGAATAGAGTTGATCCTGTAGAAGAACATCTGAGAAGAGCTGAGGAGATGCTCGAAGAGCAAGTGGAGAAAGCAGTACCACCGGAGTGGATTGTACAGAACAAGGAGGAACTGCGAAACGAAATTAGAAAGGCCATGAGGCCAGTTGCAATCATTAGTGGTAGGTCTGATAAAATGCGTGCTGTAAATATGGCCAGTTGCGTAAACCCGAATCCCAAGATGTGGCAGACATCGTGTGGATGGCCTTGGATCGACGCAGCGTGTCAATGCAAGTTAATTTTCGAAGAAGACGAAGTGGGAGAAGGTCAAGAGAGATGTGTGAAATGTTACCCCAGGGCGATGTAGGAGGGTGGAGCATGGCAAGA